TTTTTTTATAACAAGTGACTGTTGAAAAGTCTGCAATAACCAAAGTTTTGATCTCAAAATACTACTGCCTTGTTAATTCTCATGTTTATATTTGTAATATCAGTGAAAAAGTTTAATTAATTCCCTAATGTAATTAAATCAGTGTTAAGGTTCTCAGCAGAACTCTTACAAATTTCATTTTTTTTTTTTAACAAAACTCTAATTTACAGGGAGCAGTGTGCCTTAAGAGAAATCTGAATCACCTCCTAACCTGAGAAAACCTAAGCTTTGAAATTAATTACTATTTAAAAAATGAAATCTTAAAAGCAATTGATGTAGTAACTGGACCATAATTTCAGAAACAATTAAAAATTACCACACAAATGCGTTTTTATTATATAGACTTTATATAATTGTGAGGCAGATTTCCAGAAAAAATATAAATGCATTATATAATGTATAAATAAATTTGGATGGGTGTCAGAATGCAAAATTTGGGAAGGAGGAAGAGAACATTTCACTGTACAATCTGTGAAAGTATCTTAAACACACAGTACAGACATCTTAATCTTCACACACAAAATCTGATTTAAAAAAAAGGTGTGTGGATTCATTTTTTTTTTTAAGTTTTTCCAAGACTGAATTCATAGACATTCGGGCTGGAAGGGACCCCAGAGGATCATAGAGTCCTTGGTTCACCTTTTCTATAATTACTAGTAGCAGGGTGGATAAAAAAAATAAATCAATGTTTTTTAAAAATAAAACACAGATTTTTAAAAATTCAAATCAAATTTTTTTAACTTAATATTTTTTAATGTTTTTGTTAAAATGCTTTAAAAAATAAACCTGTATAAAGATAGTTTAAGATATGTTAAAGCTCAAAGATATCATTATGGAATAGAGATAACAACATAATTATGTACTATACGGATTATAACTTTTAATTATATATATTTCTAATTATATACTATGAGACAATATATTCATGTAACCTTTTTAGAAAAGTTTTATAAATAGGTCACAACAAGCCATGGACTATATTAGGGGCCTAATCTTAAGTGGTTCCCAGAGGCTCTTCTACAGATTAGTAAAGACTGAAGAAAACAGCTCGACCCAACGGAATTCAGTGCTCAGTCCCCAGAAGATCCCATTAAACATCTCTGTGATGCTCAGTTTCAGTTCTCAAACTGTGGATTTCTATCTCCAGAGATAACATCCTTGTTAACAGCAATATATGGAGATAAGAGATAACAGATCTGATTACCTATCCATCAGCCCTCTTGTCTCCCTGCAAGTTGGTGTACAGAGTCAAGCCCTTACCTCTCTCTAAAAGTGCAAAGTTTCAAAAAATTAAATGAATAAACAGTATCAAACAACAAGAATGCACTTTTTGTAGAAAACAACGATTAAATCAAGGCTACTTGACCAGTGATCTAAATCATGATTTAACTAATGATCTACCTTGATCCGATTTAAATCAAATCTACTCTGACTAATATGCTTTAAGGGACTGGAGAGCTAGTCTGTATAGCACAAAATGTGGAGAGGTTTCCTTCAGGATCTCAAAACCACTGACGGTTGCAACTGGGGAAAATGGATAGGGGATAACGCACTCTAGATCCAACTGGCTCAAGGTTCTCCCTCTAGCATCCACTTTTACGTTCAGAGACAGGATTCTGGCCTAGATGGATGGCAATTCTTATGTTCTTAACTTGTGTCCATTATTCTTGTAGGCCACAGGAAGGCGCTGAGGTACATTTTCAGCCCTAAGTTAAAAAGCCATTATTATATGGATACACTTTGTAAAATTATTGGTCATACATGGTATAGACCAGGGGTTCTCAACCTTTTTCTGCCTGAGGACGAGCCTGGCTCCCCGGTCCTGCCTGCACATGCTTGGATGCAGTGGGTGGGGAGTCCTGGGGCCCCAATTACCTGGGCGGCAGCAGCATGGAGCCTCGTCCACGTGCAAGATGGAGGCTGTAGGGCTGGGCAGGGTATGGGTTCCACCACTTTCTTGGGACTCACCTCAGCACCAGGGGGCCAAGACAGCTCCTCCCTGCACTGGGTTGGGCCAGGCAGACCCCCTAAAACATGCTCACAGCCTCCCAAGGATCTGCAGACCTGCCTCCCCCCAGGTTGAGAACCACTGATAGAAGAACCAATATACAATTCTTTGTCTGTCCCAGAGAAGCATAGGGTTAACATGGCAAAGGTGATAGGTCTAACTTCAGGTGCATCAGAACCACCGCTTTTGTTAGCTAATGCCTACAAACATTATGCTTGGTTCAAGCCAAAAATGCCATTAGCTTAAGTGAGCTACAAATTAAACCCCAGACTTATCACTGCCTCAAGTTATGTTGTCAACAGCTAAGTAAACAAACCGCAGTTAAGATCCACTTTTAAATAAGCATTAACAATGCACTGGAAAGTTCAATTATTTAAAAGATTACAGGTATTTGAGGTTCAAAATATGCTTACAGCTGAGGCTAACTGTTCCTCTGTCATATCTTCTACAAAGACAGGTCGAGCTACTGGTTCCTCAGGCAGTGCATCTGCAGAACCCATCATTAATAAGGTCATCCCCTGTAAACACATCATGCACAGACAAGACACATTTAACAGCATCCACAAAGCACAAAAAGGCAGTTATTTCTGTATAAAAAGGCAACTGTCTACTTCTACAAAAACTAGTAATTTCAGATAATTCCCAGAGATGCACTTAAGAATATTCTCTTGTGATGCTTGATGGATCTTGTGTTTCTAAATAAAAAGCTAACTAAGAATCTACAGTTTAATTCTGTTTCTATTGAACTCAGCTTTCTTTCTTTCTTCAACTTTTCTCCAATAATGTGTCATATTATGTAGAAAGTATGCAATTTCTGTAACATTCATCTTTGTTGAAAATACCCCTTTGGTCTAGCATGCCAGTCAGTAGCCAAGATTTTTCAAAACAGTTAGCTTTAACTAATGGTTCTGCTATGAGCAGGGTGGGTTGGACTAGATGACCTCCTGAGGTCCCTTCCAACCCTAATTTTCTGTGATTCTATGAATACTAGACTCCTAATATGATTAAAAATTAACAAGCCACAGAATATCTTCAATGAAACCTTTTCAAATTCCTTTAATCTTTGGCCTTTCAGAGTTAATTTTATTCATACTTCAGTATGGAAAAACTATTTTGCCTTTCTTTTCTTTGATTTTCAAGATACCTTGGGTCTCAGGCAGCTAGTTAATCAGTGTTGCTGTACTAAGATTTAAATGGATAAAAAGTTTACTGGAATTTTCATATTTAAAACAGCAGTAAGCTTCCTCTTCCTTTCGCATGGATTTTGGGAAGTGCTTAATACGAATCTTGCATACCTTTGGAGGTCTGTGCATTTACACAGTATAGGAATCTTAGATAAAGAAATAAACAATTATCAGCGATGACCAACATTTTAGAGGGGGACGCAATCAGGGGAAAAAAAACAACCCTTCACAGATGCTATGACCCCTTCCTGGGATAGCATGAGCAGAATGGCCATCCTATACTCTTGGTATTCCCCAACCACTCCCCAACCCTTTAATGGATCTAGCTGCAGGTTCTGAAAACTATGAAAAGACAGACAGTATACCCCAAAATTAGTAAACAAAATACCCAGAAACTTCCTGTACACAGTATAAATTCCCTAAAATCCTACTCAGTGTTGTTATCAATTACTGAAACAAGGCTACCAGTACACGATACGTAGCACCGGATCAGAACTCTACCTATCAAAGTATTTATAGGGCCTTCATCACTGCAGCATCCAAGTACCTTCATCACAGCCGCTGTAATGAACTGCCAAATCCCCCTAATAAAAGCCTGGTACAAGTTGCTACCAAGAAGGGTCAAGCAACTTCATTGTCTGTTCCCATAAAGAACTTCTCACCAGACTGTTGCTGAACAAGAGGGAGGGAAAATTCCAGTAGAAAGTAAACCATTTGGAAGAACTTACATAGAACGTCCGCACTGCCTATTTGGTCAGAATACTGAACAAGCAACATAGATTCATTCGGTAATTGTGTCATGCTACAGGAAAGGGGGCAAAAGGTCACCAAGATTATCTCTTGCTTTGCCAAAGGTGTAGATAAATGATAGATAAAACTTACCAGTGAGGTTTGTAAGAACACTGGCAAACAACTGAGCAAGTCAGTTAAAAAGGAACACGCCTAATATACACCAGGAGGACACTGCAATTTCACCACATGTGGTTCTTCCAAAATCTTAGTAGAGAGCAAAACTTAAAATGCTTATGGTAGGTTTTCTATTTAAACAATTATGTTCCAAAATTGTGTTGTACCCTACAGAGCACTAAAACTGAAGGCTTTTAAAGTTATGAAAGAGTCAGGACAGTTTTAGATGGACTTCTCCAGTAGTCTCTCTTTTTTCTCCCAAAGGCTGCCTTTTTTCCTCTAAAAGGCCAAATCTATCACCCCATTGAATGGAAATTACAAGCTACTTAATTGAAAACCATCACTAATTCAATCTTTCAGGAATTTACCAGTTTGGAAGTAAAGCCAGTAGTATTTTAATTGATTTCAATACTTACATTCTTTATTTTGATGTTGCCCCATTCTTCATCCTATGTTTAAAGGGAAGAGAACAATTGTAAATGTTACTATCTTATGGTAAAAGATTTGAAAGGAAAATTGATATTTTCACCAACATTCATTTTTTCTGAATAGCACATTAAGTTTCCATTACAGTGAAATATTAACTAATCTGATTATTTTGCATGCCTGGAGCAGACTAATAAGCAACAAGGTACTTTTCATTTCTAGAAGACGCTCTCCATTTACAGCTGCGCAACCATTGGTGAGATTAAAAAATCTCTTCTAGAAGAAAAAGAAAGGCAAGTTGCCCAAATTCGGTAATATTGGTATGACAAGTCTCTGGCACAGAAATGCACCATCTCTTCAGGACTGTTTTCACTGGCCTGCAATACAAGACCACAAGCAAAAGTTCTTTAACAAGCAGTTGGAACAGAATGCTGCACAGCTCATTTCTTAGAAAAATAAGAAAAATATTGGAGATTAAGATGGTACAAAGAAGTTGAACAATTTACCACTAGTTTATCTCTTTCAACAGCAATCTTCATGGACACTGCAAGAAGTTTTTCCAGTAACAAGCAACAATATAAAGCTTAATGTTTTCAATGTTTGCTGATACTAAGATGTGGGGGGATGTGGTCACGCTGGAAGGGAGGAATAGGCTGCAATCAGAC